AGACGGTGTGGGAGAGACGGCCGTCGAAACCTTTGTGTCCGTCACTTCGGCCGCGATCTTCCAGTGGGCCGTGGCGGTCGTGCAGTCCGCCTCGTCCGTCGTGGAGCCCGGGACAGGCTTGTTCTGTGAAGGGGGTGAGGGGGGGGGTTGGGGCGGAGGCGGGGACGGCGCGCAGCGGAGGCGCCGATGTGGGGCCGACGGTGTGGGAGCGGGGAGCGAGGGCGGGGCGAAGGGGGGGCGAGAGAGGGCGGAGGGCGGCGCAGGGGAGGGCGGCGGAGCAGAGAGGCGGCTATCGGGTGGCGGGGGGGCGGCGGGTGATGGCGGCCGGCAAGGAATGGTGTGAGGGGGAGAGGGGTGAGGGAGGTGGCGGCGGCGGATGAGGGGCCGGGGAAGGAGGTGGGGAGGGCGGCTGGGGGAGGGCGGCTGGGGAGGGCGGGGGCGGGGGCGGGGGCGGGGGCGGGGAGGGGGAGAGGGTGGTGGGGGGAGAGTGGGGGGCGGCGAGGACGCCCGGGCGGAGATGGAGAGGCGGGGAGGGCGGCGGAGCATGCCCCCGTGAGAGAGGCCAGACGGTGTGGGAGAGAGCGGAGAGTCGCACACCTTTGTGTCCGTCTTGTCGGCCTCGCCCTTGGAGTGGGCCGTGGTGGTCGTGCAGTCCGTCTTTTTGCTCGTGGAGCCCGAGGTCTTGATCGGATCCTCAGAGACGCAGAGCTCGGCGAACGGCAGCGGCGGCTCCGCGCACCACACAGGGGCGGCGCCGCCGCCGCACGTGACACCGACGGAGTTGGCGGTGGAGTCGGCGAGCGAGACGTCGCCATTCTTGACCGCGCCGGTGGTCTCGCCAAAGGAGGCGAGCTCGGCGTCGGCCGCGGCGCCGATGGGCTTTAGGGTGGTCGGGGCGGCGGCGCGCGAGGCGGCGCCGCTGAACTTGGAGAGATAGGCCGGGATGGAGAAGGTTGGATGGAAGGTGGCGACGTCCGGACGGGCACCGAACAGCGCCCCCCCACCCCCGAGGACGTATTGGTGGAGCAGGAGCCCCGCGGCCTTGTTGGGTTTGCGCGAGGCAGACGCCGCGAGGGCGAGCGTCGGCGCGTCGTTCTCGAGCTTGATGCTGAAGTCGGTGCGGTTGCGCGTGTCGATGAGTGCCCCCCCTGTTGCCGGCGGGACGTGGGCGAGAGGCGGCGGTTGAGGGCGTCGCGAGAAGCAGCGAGGGCGAGCATGACGGCGTACAGCAGATGTAGGCGGATGAGCGGGCAGAAAAAAAACACGCGTGCGGAGTGTGTGTGTGTGTGTGTGTGTGTGTACACTCACTCACTCAGTCACA